ACCCAAAAAAAAAAAAAAAAAGATAAAATGCTAAAGAAACATAATAAATACCATTTAGAAAAATGAAATAAACAAGTAAGTTGATATTTTGAATGGTTACTTACCAAATAAAGAATTGCCTACGTGAGATGGAACGGCCTAGAGTAAGCTTATGAAGGACCAAGTGGAGCCATAAGTGCCTGAGATTTTCCATGACTAAATCCTGGTACAGCCTTCTCTCCTTGGCACCTGAGTCTCTAGAAATATGTGGCTATATGCTAGCAAATGAAGCAATGGGATGAAAGAACAAAAACAAAAAAGGAAAAAACTCAAAACTTATGTTTGTTTGCATTCTTTTTGTTTTCATTTACACAACTCTTAACATCATGAGACTGGGCTTGTGCTTGCATTTCTGAATGTGCTTCCACTCAGTCACTTGCACCTGCAATGATCATTTTGTCTGCATCACGTAAATTTATTTCAAAGATCTGACACTGAATATTCATTACTCCTCTTATTCTTCTTCCTCTGACTGATGATTATTGTCAAGTTGAGCAAGTCCCATTTATTTAGAAAAGTTTTCACTTGATAATGTGAGGAAGATGCACATATCTAACGCACAGCACAATTAAACAATGTGATCCTAGGGAAGAATAACTGAATTACAACTGCAGCTGTACTTCTTATCACTCAGATCCAGACACAATTTAAATATTTTCATTGGTGCCTACAGGCAGACTACAGTGGATTTTCAATTCCAAGAGTGAGTTTTGAATAACAATTTTTAATAGTTGTTATAGTGAATAGACAGTGAAAATTCAGATAGCAAAAGATACCTGTAAGTGGTGTTTGCTTGAGAAGCAGTGTGGGCTTTGGCATTAGACAGGCTTGGTTTCCCACTTATTAGCTGGTATGATCTTGGGTAAGGCAATTAACCTCTATGAACCTCTGTTTTCTCAAATGTAAAATGGGTTAATTTTCAGGGTTATTACAAGATCTTAATATGTATATATGGTATCTGGAACATATATTAAATGCCCAATTTAAAACACAATAACTATTTATATTAGTCTATTACATGTGGGTGTAAGCAATAGAAATTGAAAGAAAGAAATGTATAATGTAAACTGAATACAGCTTATTTGTTATTGAGGTAATTGGAGGAAAATGAGACTTGTGTTATGCATAAGAAAACAGAGAAAAAAAGCCATGCTTAAAGGCAAGATGATCCATTGTATGTTCCATTTTTCTTCCTCATCATGGCAGTGTCTTATAAGAAAGCAGTGTCCATCTGCTTAGAGTTTTACTGAATGCTTGATGATGTTAAAGCCCAAAATGAATTTTCCCGGTTTGTTTTCCATCCATAGTAATAACTCACTGAATCCTTCTATAATAGACATTTTACATTGTACACTTTACAATAGGTCCATGCCAAGGACTATTTTCCAACACATTTATATGTACTTCCTGAAGGTCAAGGTTACATAACTGGTCACTACTTGTACAAAGATGCCCAGGAAACGTTCTAGTACCTCTGTAGCCCTCAGGACCCAATATATCCCTCACCCCCACCAAACCCTTTCCTAGACCAGCATTCCTTGCTCCTTGGGGCTGGGCTTCTGCTTGCATTCCTGAAACTGCATCTTCTCAGTTTTCCTGCCTGTGTCTTAGTATCCTAGGGCTGGCACATGCTCTAAGTCCCTAATCAACTGTAGTCTTTTCTTCTCCAGGGTCCTAAGACCTGTCTTTGGTCCATAGCCAATGCTTAAAGTACTGTCAGGGAGGAAAAGAGATTTCCATGACTCAGGCTTCAAAAAATTCTGAAATCTCTGTGCTTTATCTCTGAGTCCTGACCCCCAAATAGATCTCCCCATATACCCCATGCCTTAACAATGCCTAGCTGGCTGTTCCTCCAGAATTGGGGTAGGTGCAGATGGGGAGAATAGAAGAAAGGAAAATCCCTTAAAGAGAGTGGAGGATCACTCACATCAGAAAAATAAGGCAGTGAAGAGCATGGGCTCTGGAGACAGAGTGACTGGGTTTGAATCCCGGCTCTAATCCTTGTCAGCTATGTGACCTTTGACAGGTTATTAAACTTTTTGCTACTAAGTTTCTTTGACTCCAAAATGGAGATCATAACAGTATTTACCTCATAAGTCATTATGAAGGTGGCAGGTTGCTGCATGAATAAAGTGCTCAGAACAGTGCCTTACACATTAAATGCTAAATACTTGTCAATGATAATGATGACCAAAAGCCTTCAGCAAAGAGATAACACCCAGGCTCCTTAGCATGGCATCCAAGGACTTGCATAGTACGGCCCTGTTTCTTCCTCACTGCATATTTTGGACCATGTATGCTGCTTTAACAAAATACCTGGGACTGACTAATTTATAAAGAAAAGAAATTTATTTATTGGAGATTTGGAGGCCAGAAGTTTAAGATCAAGGCATCAACAAGTTTTGTGTTTTTGCTGAGGGCTTGGTCTTTACTTCCAAGATGGCACCTTGTTGCTGCATCCTTCCTGGGAACAAATGCTGTGTCCTCACATGGCAGAAGAATAGAAGGACAACTAAAGGTCTAGCTAGTTCCCTCAAGCCCCTTTATAAGGGTACTGTGTCCTTCATGAGGTTGGAAGGCCCAGTTTCTTAATGCCAACATCTTGGGCTTTATGCTCCAACAGATGAATTTTGGAGGAATACATACATTCAAACCGTAGCACTATGCAGGCCTCATAAACCCTCCCCTAAGCCAAAACAGTCTATTTTACAACCCGCTACACCATTGTTCACCTTCCCCACCCAACCTCCCCATTCTACCTCTTTTATTCAAATCTTATGAGCCAGATTCTTCACAAAATCCAAGTATTAATTACATGTATTGTGGGGGTATGCATGTTTGCTTTCTCCCTGGACCCAAACTGTTAAATGGAAGGATGTATATTCCTTCTATCTCCATCCCATGGTACTCAGAAGAGTACCTGGCATATAGTAGACACTCAGTATTAAGTATTTTTCCTTCTGCAGGATTGACTCTTATCATCAACATCAGTGACCAAATAATACCCATTTCAGAGTACATGTGAGGGTTTTCTTAGATAATATATGTAAATCACTTAACAAAGTGCTGGCCACATAGTTTTGTAACTATTGTTGCTGCTGTAACTGTTGCTGTTTGGCTGTATAGCAGAGAGCCCAGGCTTTGGAGCTGAACAGAGATGAACTTATAAATTAACTTTGTCGAGGCTGAGGTGAGTGGATTGCCTGAGCCTGCGGGTTCGAGACATGCCTGGACAGCGAGACCTCATCTCTACAATAAATCAAAAAATCAGCCGGGCATGGTAGCGCATGCCTATAATTCCGGGCTACTGGGAAGGCTGAGGCGGCAGGATCACCGGAGCCCAGCAGGTCGAGGCTGCGGTGGCCGGGAGCGGCCACTGCACTCCAGTCTGGGCGACAGAGTGAGACCCCAACTCAAAAAAAAAAAAAAAAAAAAAGCTGCAGAAACTACAGTTTCCTTAACTATAAAATGGGGGATTATAAAACTTATCTCAGTGTAAAACACCTGGCAAAAAGTAAGTAGCTAATACATATCACTAAGTTTCTTCTCCTCCATGGCTGCCTCATTTTGTGGCTTTGCTCAATTTACTACACTTCTCTGGTCTCAGTTTTCTCATCTATAAATGAGGGCTTGAACTAGATGATCTCCATGATCCCTGCCCTATCTAAATTCCAAAATCACTGAACTCATCATCTTTTCCCTTAAATCTACTCATTCCCTGTCCCTGAGGAAGGATCCTTCCTTGATAGCTGCTCAATATTTCAAAATTCTCTGTCTCTCTTTAAGAGCTTGTAGGGTGGTCTAGACCCAAGGCTTTGGCACAATTCCAGGGATCATTCACACAATGGGAATAACATGTGAATAGCACCTGTCAACTGAAGAATCAAGGGGCTCATAAATTTGGAAAGGAGACCTTTATTTCTTATAAAGTGTTGCACAGGCTGAAAAGCATAGCCTCCGTAGAAGTTGACAGCAAGCACTTTGAGGGAAGGGTAAAAGAAAACAGGAATTTATGCTGAGCAGGGGGGTCAAATATACGTATTTATTAAGCTATAGGAGAAGTTATGAATATTTATGAAGGAGAAATACGCACATGTCTAATTGAGCGGCATGTCTGTTCGTAGGTCACACGTTCAAAAAATGGCAGCATTAGCATGGGGTGGGTAGAGTTTGGGGCCCTCTGACATCAAAAGATGAAGCACAGGACATGAAAACCCTTACTCTACAAGTTGACCAAAACCAGTCTGGAGATGGTGGTCAGATTTTAGGAAGGGCTGGATTATGAAACTGGTGAGCCGTCACGTGGAAACCGCAAAGATGGGGGCGGGGGAAGGTCCAGTCGCAGCCGCAGATGATTGGCTACAGGTAATAAAGGACTGAGTCTTCAGTTTCTTGTTTTTCAGAGCTGGCTTCTGCTAACTTCTTAGGAAATAATTCTGGTTAAAGGTTAATAAGGAAGGGTCATACTGAGGCTTGTCTGACTTCCCATCCCGACATGGCTGGGCACACAGTTTTTAAAGATTATTTGTGGTTTTCTTGGTCGAGAGGGGGGTCACTTCAATTCGTTGGGGGCTTGCAATTTTATTTTTATTTCTCACACCCTAGGAATTGGGTGCTCCTCAGCAACCCTCAGTCCAGCACTGTCTGAATTCCGTTCACAACGCAGTATAATAAAGTTCAGAGTACACAGGGAAGAATAGTTTCCAACTTTCGAGTCCAGAAAAAAAGAATCTGAGTCTAAAAAAGAAAAAAAATGAATAAGTATCAAACCAGATGGATCTCTGCATTCAAAGCCTTTTCGTTCCTGTTCTGTCACAGACTTTGCAAATGGGCATCAAACACTTCTCAGGACTCTTTGTGCTGCTGTGCATCGGATTTGGTCTGTCCATCTTGACAACCATTGGTGAGCACATAGTGTACAGGCTGCTGCTACCACGAATCAAAAACAAGTCCAAGCTGCAATACTGGCTCCATACCAGCCAGGTGAGTGCTGCAGGTGTCTTGCTCCAATATTCTTCTACTGTACTATTCACAGCGATGGGAGGCTCTTGGTCTTATGCTCAGATTAACAAGTGATGTGCCGGGCTCGGTGACTCAGCCTGTAATCCTGCGCCTTTGGGAGGCTGAGGTGAGTGGATTGCCTGACCCTGCGGGTTCGAGACCCGCCTGGGCAGGCGAGACCTCATCTCTACAATAAATCAAAAAAATTAGCCGGGCGTGTACCGTGCGCCTGTAGTTCCAGCTACTCGGAAGGCTGAGGCGGAAGGATCGCCGGAGCCCAGCAGGTTGAGGCTGCGGTGGCCGGGAGCGGCCACTGCACTCCAGTCTGGGCGACAGTGAGACTCCAACTCAAAAAAAAAAAAAAAAAAAAAACAAGTGATGTTACCACCATAACAAGGGTGGGTAGGCACTCTCATTATAGAAGATGGAGTTCGTTCTATCTCATTAATTCACTTTCCCCTCAAATTAAGTTATCACACGGTATCCTTTCCTCTCCTATAACCCTGCACTGCTGCTCATAATAGAAGCAATAGAACAGTTTTTAACCAGGTTTGACTTAATAATGACAATCTGAAAGATTTGTTTCCTCGATTCTTTTCTTACCAAAGTTGAAACCAATCAAATGAGTTTGAAGTTCCTTTTCCCCTGTAGGTGACCACACTTGCCTCTCTTCTCCCTGCTTTTTCCCTAGTCCAGAGATTTGAGGCCCACTGGGGCCAATGCCAAGCCTCACAGGGCCACAGTTCTTGTGTGTAATCCAGATACCAACACACTGATTTACAGGGAGAACTGAAACTGTTGAGTAGAGTGACTATTCAAGCATACTCTTTTGCACATCTCTCTTTCAAGGATGTTGGCATGGAGAGCCAAGATAGAGTCAGAAGGCTTCTTAATGCTGGAGGCAAGGGCAGCTAAGCCATCCTGGCCTCCCTCAACAGTGGGATCCCTCATGCCCATTACATCCCAGCAGGGAGGCTGCCAGTTCTGTCACGTTTGCTCCGTTCATGTATTCATTATCCTCAAGCTGACCTCCCGCTTTGTTAACACAATGCCTTTTTTCCTAGAGAGATTATTATCATTGATTTGGTTACAGATGAACCCTGTTCTTTTTACTTTCATCCTGGGAAGTAGTTGGTCTTCTCGGAGAACTCTACAGATAGCTGATCTTCTCTATTGTCTACTAACAAGATTAGTTTAATTCTCAGGAGTTCTTCCCTTCTTTGTTTTGGTAGTCGAGAAATCAAAACTTAAGTTGTTGACTCATCTTTAGCAATTGTACAAGGTCTTTTGCTCCTCATTAGTTATGATTGTGTCTCTTTATATCACATACTATTTTACAATCCAGAGTACATCTAAGCTTTCTATCAGATCACTTTTTTGGTTCTCCAGGTAGAATAATAACCTATAATTAGGATTCTTGTTCTCTTAAGATTTGGGCTGAATGTTGATTTGTTTTTAGGCATTCCTGGAAATTTGTTTAGAGGCTAAGGTTTGTAGTGACTACACACACCATTAAATTTCAAGCAGTACTTTGTTCCCTGACCTCTGTGTTTCTAATGATCTCTATCATTTGTGAATTTGTTCTTTCCGTCAGAGATTACATAGAGCACTAAACACATCATTTGTAGAGGAAAAGCAGCAGCGTTTCAAGACCAAGCGTGTGGAAAAGAGGTAAGAAGAGGCCAATGTCTTTACATTTACTAAAATAAAAGTTTAGCAATGTAACTGTATAAATATATCAAATTAGCACAATTTGTTGCTAAACAAAGTCAGTATAAATACATGTGGTTTGACATAGACAGAAAAGAAACCTAAAACAAACAATATATGTGAACACAATATACTGTCATGGTTGAAAGTGTAGATGTGGACTCTAAGGTCAACCATTTGGATCCAAATCCTGTCACTTAAAATATGTGTTACCTTGGGCAAGTTATTTATTTAACATCTCTGTGTGTCAAGTTTCTCGTCTGTGAAATTGAGATAAAAACAGTATCTACTTCCCAGAGTTGTAAAGATTAAATGAGACAACGCATGTAAAGTCCTAAAAACAAGGCAAATGCCTAATAAATGTTAGCTATTATTATGTACAGAATGCATGTTAGACTTAATTCATGAGAACCTGTAGACAATTTATTTCTTGTGACACTGTTTTTTTGGCATGTTTCCACTCCCTACCTCTTTCCAGCACTCTTAGGAATACAGTATTTCAAATATGCAGCAGACATGTCCTGCCTAATTCATTTCCTGGCACTTTTCTACAAATTCCCTAGGAGGGTGCATCTCCTTAATAAGAAATAACAAGCTTTAAATGCATAGATGATATTTGAAAATCATAATTCCACACCTTCACCACAGCCAGCCTGTGGATGACTGTTGCCTCGATCATGGTGACTAAAGATGTCAGAAGCATTTGGATCTGGTTCCCAGCTGGCCTCTGTTGCCTGCTGCCTAAGGCAGCCCTCCTGGTTCTTTCACATGCCCAGAGGCCTCAGATGAGGGCATCATCTCCAAGTACCACTGTCATCTATGGCATATCCTCAGCTCAAGGCTTGGCTTTCAGGGTAGTTTTGAAATCTGACACACACACACCTCTCATCTTAACAGAAGTAAAAGGAATGGAAATCGTGTTTTCTTTCATTGCTTGTATCTCCTCTGGGATTGCTGCAGTCCCCTTCACTCCAGTTTGCACCTAGCTTTTCAAAATCATTTCCATATTTCTTAAAGTCTCTCCTTCCATTCAGTGAGCACTCCCCTGCAACCCTTCTCAGTCCGTGGTTTTCCTGTATCATATTGCCAGACTGTTAGTGACAAGCTGTATACTACTCAGGTCACAGTTGTTCCATGTCATGTTACATATATTTTTTCTATAATTATTTTTAACATATGTTTTTCAGCAGAGGAACACAAGAAGACATAACAGCAAAGATATCATCTTACAATGGCAAAATATTTGTTTGCTAGTTATAATAGAAACAGGAAGCCCAGTGATCCCATCTCCAACTGTGATACAATTCATATTCACACTTTCTTACTCAAATTGAAAACTAAATGTGTCTTTCCAGTCAACTTACCCACTTTTTCTTGGCAGATTTTCCTCCTGAACCCCTTCTTTTAAGGAACTATGGCAAAACATGCCTTCATGATATATCTTGAGCTCACATTTCCTGTGCCCACCTCTCTACAACCCAACATTTGCAAACTTTCAAACACATTGAGTGTCTGGGGTCCCACAGCTGTCATGTCTCTTGAACAGTCCAGTGGAGTACTGAACTTCAGTGTTACATAATTGCTCCATGGAAGACTATTATGCTCACTTTTAGTGCTAAATACAGCTCTCTCACTGGTCACATTACACTGCTAAGGCTGAAGAAGGCTTGATACAAAACATAACCTAAACATTATTGAGACCAAGAGTATAACATACTCATTCCTCCCAATCAGACACTAAATCTTACATTCAGCATCTGTTACCTTGCACTCATAGGTATCCCAGAGCCAGACATCAATTAACAGAGTCCTGGTGATGCTAGCAATTAAGGTTTGCCACAGAGTCCATCTTTTATTTATGCTTCAGCTATATAATACAAAGCTCTGGAGAAAATCAGACTGGCTGTCTCTACTTACCTGATCACTGTAATTGTCTGGAAAGTCCAAGAGAATGTGTAGATGCTCTACTCTCAAGTTTTCCCTGCTATGAATCATTCTCGGGTATTACAGTTAGGTGTGTTGGCTTGAAAATGATCTTTCCCTCTTCTTTCAGAAGAATAGTTATGCAAATGCCCATGCCTGCTACAACTGAACATCTCTTTCCCCATGTTTCATACTTATTAAATGAATAGAGAAGTGAATGGATTATTAACACATGAGTTTAAAGAAAGTCTTGGAGAAATGTTAGGCCATGGTATGGAAGCAGATGTTCCCCTTTTTTTTATTTAATGGAGAGGGGAAAAGTGGATATTGAAAGAGACTATATATGGTCCTTAATTTATTCAACATGATACTTCATGTAAGTTTCAGTCTATCCTTAACCTCACTGTGTTCCTGATATACCTCCCTTTCCTTCTTCTCTCACTCCAAGATAGAAAAATTGTAAACTATATAACAAGCACCATAAACAAGATTGTTTTGGAATTACTCACACTCAACAGGAAAAGATCTGAAGGAAAAATTAAAGGGAACTGTAAAGCTGGAAGGAAAATTAGAACCATGCCTTTTCTTAGATTCAGGTCTAGAGCCAATGGAGCTATAAGTGGTTTTACTGTAGAACTTTTACCCAGCCCAGGATACATGAAAACTAATCTCTGCTGCCCTCTGCTCATTTATATGAGACTTAAATTCTAAGAAATGCTACAATACTACAAAGTGGTTTACAGTGAATTTGTTTCAATGGCTTGGGGCACATATCAACTGATCTTTGCTGTGTGAGAAATCGTCCAAAGACTTAATGTTTTAAACAACAGTGAGTTGCTTATTTATCCAAGGACCAGATGTGCAGTTGTCTGATCTGAGTCAAACTTGGCTGATTTTGGCTGTGTTTGTTCATATGTCTGCAGCCAGCTTGTAGGGAGGGGGAAAGGCAGTTAAGGGCTATATGATCTGTGATGGCCTCAGCTGGGTCAACTGGGAAGCCTGGGGACTCTCCACATGGCCTGCCATCATCCAGCAGGCCAGTCTGGACTTGTTCACATTGCAGCAGAGGAGTTTCCAGAGAGAGTGAAAGTGTGCAAAGCTTCTTAAAATCTTAAGCTTGAAACTGTCATCTTACCACTTCTTTCACTTTCTATTTGCCAAAATAAGCTGTATGATCCACCATAATTCAAGGGAGAGGAGAAACTGACTTAGGATCCCAACAGGAATAAGCTGCAAAGTTACACTACAAAGAGGCATGGAAAAAAGAAGGAACAACTGTTTATGACTACTCTTACACCAAGACTTTATTATCTCTCTTCTACCCCTTTCCCATTCAGATTCCCATGTCTTATTCTGGCATGTAAGAGTCCAAGAGTAAAATTGGTTCAGTTACATGCACAGGAACAAAAACACAAGAATTTAATGGAGTGTTTCTATTTTGTTGCAACCCGTAATAGGTTGCATAAATGGCCATAATCCACCTCTTCCTCCTTCTTATCCTAAGGTAAAAAAAATCAGTAGCTCTATTGCTTAGGGCTCTAATCTGTTGCAGTGAGAAGCTCTTCTTATTGCATGTGTCAAAGTGTACTTCAGAAACGGGAACACCCTCTTCCTGTGACTATCTAGCAATAACTCTCCTGCTGACTGTAGCTATCTCTCCACAATAGTGGTAGGTGGAATAATGCACTCCTAAAACAGGATTGCAAATTTGTTTTTATTTGGCTTTCATTATCCCAACAAGAACCTGAGAATTTTCTTGAGATTTTTAAAAATTTTTAAATATGTGGGGTACAATTCAAGGTTAGGTATACAAATGTTCATTATGCAGGTACCCTTGTTGATGAGGTGTGCCTCCCCTCCCCTGGCAGTTTTTCACTACTGCCATTCCCTATCTCATAGTATTATGATAATTGTTCAAGGTCCACTTATGAGTCAGAACATGTGATACTCAGTTCTTTGTTTCTGTGATAGATCACTCAGTATTATAACCTCTAAGTACATCCAAGTTGCTGTGAAGTTCATAATTTTGTCCTTTTTTATGGTTGTGTAATATTCAATTGTGTATATGTATCAATTTTTTTTTTCTTACCCAATCCTCTTTCAATGGGTAGTACAATTGGTTCCATGTTTTTGCTATGATAAATAATGCTGCAATAAACATGTGTGTGCAGGTATCTTTTTCATAGCGTAATTTGAGTTCCTCCGAGTATATTCCCAGTAGGGGGATTGCAGGGTTGTATAGGAAGCTGATTTTTAGATCTTTTAGAAATCGCCACACTGTTTTCCACAAAGACTATACTAGTTTACACTCCTACCAACAGTATAGAAGTGTTCCCTTTTCACGGCATCCTCTCGAGCATCTGTTGTTTTTTGAGTCATTGATGATGGCCATCCTGACTGGAGTTAGGTGGTATCTCAGTGTGGTTTTAATTTGCATTTCTTTGATGACTAGTGAGGCTAAGTATTGTTTCATGTATCTATTGGCTGCTTGTATGTCTTCTTTTGAAAAGTGTCACTTCACATCTTTTGCCCACTTTGTAATGGGTTGTTTGTTTTTTTTCTTTTTAGCACGTTTGAGTTCCTTGTAGATCCTTGTAGATCTGATCTTTGTCAGATATATAGTTGGCAAATATTTTTTCCCAGTCTGTGAGCTGTCTCCCTGCTCTCTCAATGGATTCTTTGGCTTTACAGAAGCTTGTCAGTTTGATGAGGTACCACTTGTCTATCTTATCTCTTATGGCCTGGACACCTGGGGTTTTGATCAGGAATTAATTGCCAGTTCCAAATTCCATAAGGGTGTCACCTGTGTTTTCTTATAGGTTAAAGGTTCTTATAGTTTGAGGTTTTATGTTTAGGTCTTTGATCCATTAAGAGTTGGTTTTTGTGTATGGTGATAGGTATGGATCATTTTAATCTTCTGCACGTGGTCAGCCGGTTTTCCTAGCATCATTTACTGAACAGGTTCTCCTCTCCCCAGTGGTTGATGGTGGAGGCTTTCTGAAGGATGAGTTGGTTGAGAAATTGAGGTTTAGCTTCTGGAATCTCTATCCTGTACCATTGACCAATATGCCTGTTCTTGTACCAATACCAGGCTGTTTTGATTATTGTAGCTTTATAATAAACCTTAAAGTCCGGAAGCATGATGCCTCACATTTTGTTTTTTGTTTTTTGCCTGTTTGTTTGTTTGTTTTTGCTGAGAATTGTTTTGACTATTTGTGGTTGTTTATGTTTCCATATGAATGCATTGTTGTTTCCAGATCTGAAGAGAAGGCTGCTGGTAATTTAATGGATACTGCGTTAAATCTGTAAATTGCCTTGGGTAGGGTGGACATCTTAACAATGTTGGTTCTTCCAATTCATGAGCATGGAATATTTTTCCATTTGTTTGTGTCATCTTTGATTTCTTTGAGCAGTGTTTCGTAGTTTTCAAAAGTCTTTCACTTCTAGTTAGGAAGATACCAAGATATTTCATTTTTTGTGTGGCTATTGTAAATGAGATTCTGCTTCTTATTTGGATTTCTGTTTGTTTATTGTTGGTGTATAGGAATGCGACTGACTTTTGCACATTTATTTTATACCCTGAGACTTTGCTAAAGTCTTTTATCAGTGCAAAGAGGTTTCTGACAGATTCTTTTGGGTTTTCAAGGTATAGAATCATGTCGTCTGCAAAGAGGGATAACTTAACTTCCTCTTGTCTTATTTATATATCCCTGATTTCCTTCTCTTGCCTGATTGCTCTAGCTAGACTTCCAATACTATGTTGAATAGGAGGAGTGAGAGTGGGAATCCTTGTCTTGTTCTGGTTTTCAGGAGAAATGGTTCCAATTTCTGTCTGTTTAGCAGTATGTTGGCTGTGGGTTTCTTGTAAATGGCTCTTACTATTTTGAGGTATGTTCCATCTATGCCTAGGTGTTTGAGGGTTTTTATCAAGAAGGGGTGCTGGATTTTATAAAAAACTTTTTCTGTATCTACTGATATAATCATGTAGTTTTTGTTTTTACATCTGTTGATGTATTTAATTACATTTATGGTCTTGCAGTTGTTGAACCAGCCCTGCATCTGGGGGATGAAGCCTACTTGGTCATGGTGGACGATTTTTGAGATGTGTTGTTGGATTCAGTTTGTTAGAATCTTGTTGAGAATTTTAGCATCTCTGTTTATCAAGGATATTGACCTGTAGTTCTCTCTCTTTGCTGTATCTTTTCCCAGTTTGGGTATCAATGTGATGTTATCTTTATAAAATGATCTGGGGAGAGTTCCATCTTTCTCGATTGCCTGGAATACTTTCAATAGGATTGGTATCAGCTCATCCTTGTATGTTTTATAGAATTCTGCTGGAAAGCCATCTGGTCCAGGGCTTTTTATTTTTTTTGTAGGTAGTTTTCTTATGACATAGTCAACTTTCTGATTGTTATTGGTCTATTTAGGGTTGCGATTTTTTCTTGTTTCAACCTGGGAAGGTTTGTGATGTAAGAAAGTCCTCCATTTCACTTAGGTTTTCGAGTTTGTTTCCATACAGGGGTACATAGTAATCTCTGATCATCTTTTGTATTTCTTCAGGGTCAGTTGTGACGTCATCTTTTGCATTTCTGATTGTGTTTATTTGGGCTTTTTCTGTCTTGTTCTTGGTCAGTAGCTAGAGGTTCATCAATCTTGTTTATCCTTTCAAAAACCAGTTTTTGGTTTCATTGATTTTTTTCTGTATTATATTTTTGTCTTCTATGTCCTGAATTTGGGCTTTTATTTCTGTGATCTTGATTTTTCTGCTGAAGTCAAAGTTTTGATGGTTTTGCTTTTCCAACTTCCTTAGGTTGTTTGTTAGGCTTTTAACTTGTTATCTTTCCATTTCTCTTCATGTGTTCATAGAGGTATGAATTCCCCTCTTAGTATGCTTTCATGGCATCTCAGAGATTTTGGTAAGATGTTTCTTCATTTTCATTTGTTCATTTGCTTTCAGGTATCTTTTAACCTGTTTTGATTTCCCAGTTGACCCAGGAGTTGTTTAGCATCATGCTGTTTAGTGTCCATGTCTTTGTAGGTTTTAGGGGATATTTTGTTGGTGTTGATTTTTATTTTTATTCCACTGTGGTCTGAGAAGGTGCATGGCAGAATTTCAATCTTATGGAATTTTTTAATGCTTGATTTATGGCCAAGGATGTGGTCAACCTTAGAGTGCATTCCATGT